CAGTGCGGCTGGCGCAGGATAGAGCAGGGTTTAGGGCTGTTGTGCATAGGGTCGCTATGAGTCGCAAACGACTCGACGGCACATAACAACAACATATACTAAAAATAGGCAAAAATGTGCTTCATCTTTAAAATCAACTGTATAGAAAAAATGAGCATGAAATAAGCTTTAAAATAATATATAATATTTAATATTTTATAATAATATTTATTAGAAGTTATTGCATATAATCAGCTGAAATCCTGAATTATATTTGGGACCATGGAATACTTGACTCCACAGTCACCTCATAAGATTGATTTATGCTTCAGGCAGATCTGCTACCAGGGACCTCTTTAAAGTGCTAAAGATCAAGGATTTTACTTTGCATACTACAGTGTACTGATCCACATCACGATAATTTTGAGTAGCTTCATATCTGTGTAGAAATTTGGCATTGAGTAAGGAAGACTGAAGAAGATGTGATGCCTCTGAATTGTATTGGTAAAGAATATTGAATATACTACCACAAAATGCAAAAACAAACAAAAAAACCCCAAACCTATCTTGGAAAAAATACAGCTGTTTGCTCCTTAGAGGCAAAAATGGTGAAACTTTGGCTCACATACTTTGGATATGTTATCAGAACAGGCCAGTTCCTGGAGAAGAACATTATGCTTAGAAAAGTGGAATATCAGTGAAGGCAAACAAACCTTTGAGGAGTTGGGTTGATAGTGACTATGACTGTTGTCCAAGCATGACAGATTGTGAGGACGGCACAGGATCTGGCATGGTTTTTCTATTGTACATGAAGTTGTGAGTTAGGACCAATTTGTGGTGGCACTTAACAACTGCTGCCTACTTTCTCTGGTCTCTTTTATTGATATCCTTTTTGTTCAGATGTTAAATATTTGGAACAGCTTCTCCATTTTCTTTTCAATCTCATTTTTTATCTTTTGTTGTTTTTTCCCCAAGAGTTCTTTATTCATAACCCTTCTTTGACATGCTATATCCTCTCATTCTTTCTAGGTTTTTTTCCTATTGTCTACACTAGTTTCTCTGTTCTTCAAGTTGTTTTATTTTGATTGATTTTAATCCTTTTTTAGAGTTTTAGTGGTTCTTGGCAGTAGTTTCTAGTTCAAGAATCAGAATCTAGTTCAAGAATTTTTACGACTTAGTAAAGCTTGTTGCTTGCTGAAGATGAAGAGGACCTGAGGCACTTGCTGTGGAAGGTCAGGGACTGCAGTCTTCAGTACGGATTGAGACTCAATATCAAGAAAACAAAGTTTCACACCACTGGGCCAATTGGCAGCGTCATAATGGATGGTGAAGAGATTGAGATTGTTCACAGTTTTGGTTTGCTTGGCTCCACAGTCAACACTCTGGGCACCAGCAGCCATGAAATTAAAAGATGTATTGCAATGGGAAAGTCTATGGTTAGAGACCTCTCTAAAGTGCAGTGATAGCAGTCTGGAGATTAAGGTGCACCTGATACATGCCATGGTCTTTGCAATCACTTGCTGTTCATTGGAGAGCTGAACAATGACTAGGGATAATAGAAGGAGAATTGTTGCCTTTGAGCTGTGGTATTGGAAAAGAGTATAGAATATATTCCATGGATTGCTAGGAAAACAAACAGGTTTGTCCTGGAGAGGGTGAAGCCACGCTGTTCCTTGGAAGCAAGGATTCTAAAGCTTCATCTGACATATTTTGGATATGTTGCAAGGAGGGACCAGTTCTTGGAGAGGGACGTTATGCTTGGGAGCGTGGAGGAACAGCGCAGGGGAGGAAGACCCTCAAGATGGATTGATTTAGTGACTGGGGTAATAATGGGGGCAGGTATGTTGGAGATGGTAAGATTGGCACAGGATAGGGCAGAGTTTAGGGCTGTTGTACATAGGGTCACTATGAGTTGCAGGCAGTTTGACAGCACATAACAACACAAAGCTTGTTGACTGACTTTACTGTAGAGTAATTATCAAGAAATTGCCGAATGCAACTGTTTGTTGATTTTTTTTTTCCTTGTGTTCTGGACACACTCCATAGAAGAATCTTCCTTTTTTTCTGTTGGATTGCTGAAGCACTTTCCCTTCTGCCTTTACTCTCACTCTTGCATTTGTCTTTAGTTTTGCCAGATGCCCTGGAGGGCTGAGCCTCTTTAATCAGAACCTAGAAAGTAAATCTCCAGTTTTTCTCCACATGGGAGTCAGGCATCTGTCTGCTCCTAGAATTAAAGTCTGACTCTTTCTTGTCTGCAATCCTGCCCCACCATCTCACCTTCCAGGGCCAATGGTGGATACAGGACGCTAGAGGGAAAGAGACTAAATAGAACTCTTTTCTTTTTGCTCCTTCTTGTGTCATTAGCAAACAGGTGTGTCCAGCCTTTTGGTAAGGAAATAGGAATGTTTTCTTTCTCTGTCATTGTGTTTCATGAATGAAGAAGATTGCAAATTCCTTGAAGGATTCCCTTAGAGGTAGAGATGAAGCAGTAAAAAGCATAATCCAAAATGAAAACGGTAGAAATCTCAAAAATGGATATCCACCTGAACTAGCATGAATGGGCGGGAAGCAGTGAGCATGAAGAGGAGGTCGAGTAGCTGGGGGAGGGGGAGGGGCATCTATAGGCAGTCCTTTTTATTGCTGTCTTGATGGTCCTGTGTAACAGAACCTATTACTGGAGAGAACCTTTCCTGAACTCCTTTTTTTTTGCCACTAATGTATTCTCAGCATTATTGTGTGACTTGATGGTCTTCCTAACACAGTTTTGTTCTTCTGTAGGCCCTATATTTATGGTCCTACATCCCAGGGAGAAAGGATGCAAATTCTCCAGAATTTTAAACACAATCCCAAAATCAACACCATCTTCATATCCAAGGTTTGTGTGGCTAGCGGGGTAGTGGTGATACCCTTGAGATCTGCCAGTCAGCACCCCAGCTTCCTGGGGGTGCACTGGATGGTTTCTAGACAGCCTTTTTGTGTCTAAGGAACCTTGTGTTGACATTCTCATTTTGGATTGTCCATCTTCAGACTGCAGGGCAGATGACAAGAAAACATCATGTTAGGGTGTGAAAATATTTTAAATTTTAAGAATATATGTATTGTGGGTAACCTATAATGTTTTTGCTTGATCAAGATTTTAAAATACATTAATTTCTTTCTCCAGCAAGGGAAGTGTTCAGACTCTATTGTCTTTCTAGAGTTGGAGACGCTCTTCATGGTAGGATTGACATAAGCCCAGCTCTGACACATGTATAGCCTCATGGTAGAGTTAACTTGCACTTAGAAGCTATGGACTAACCACTGAGAACATTTAGAGTCGGATGACCCAAAAGCACGAAAGAAATTAAATGTATCTCTATGGCTATGGCTGATAGTCCCATACTTTAATCTTTGGCTAATAACCACTTGATCGGCATCTTCAAGTTCAGGAAGCACAAGCATGAGTCCAGCTAAAAGAGAGTCAGTGAGCCTGCTGGGTCATGTTCCAGGTTTCCTATTCATCTCAGTGGGTGAGATTGATGGTTGGTGCAGGTCTTGTTTTATAACTAAGAATTCCTCATAGTGAGTCTGTGTTGTAGGGGCCTCTAAGACCCAGTACCACAAATGTCTCTCCAGTGGTATCTGTAGTCAGTGAGGTGGGATGCACATACACAGACTCAGGCATCCCTTACTAGAGTTCACAGCAGGCCTGGAGGCCCAGAAATGCATATCTGAGACTCACTGCTTCACCCCTGCCTGTGGCAGGGGACATTGGAAAGAGAATAATGGGTTTTTCCTAAATTGTATAAAAAGCTAATTTTATTTCTAGGCCAGTGATTTCCCCCTTTTCTATTTTTGTCTCATAAATAAAAATCTTCCCAGATTCATTGCTGCTTCATTTCTATAGGTAGGTGACACATCATTTGATCTGCCAGAAGCAAATGTTCTCATTCAAATCTCTTCTCATGGTGGCTCCCGGCGGCAGGAGGCTCAGAGGTTAGGGCGAGTGCTCCGAGCCAAAAAAGGTAAAGATGGGCTTTCTTGTTCTGCTCTGGGATCTGGAAGATTTCCCTCTTTTCACCATGTCAGATAGGGAGAGGTTTGGGTGAACTGTTGGTTTGCTCAGTAACATCAAGGTTATGCTTCTGGGCTAGATTAGATTTAATTGGAGGGGGGGCGGTGCACAAAACAAGAACCAAGTCCCCATAACTCTTACTAATATTTATCATCCTGTAGGGGTGACTGTATGGCTGTTTTATGTGGCAGCTGTCTAGAATTCACTTGTATAACCGCTAAGCAGAAAAAGAAAGAAATGGGGAAGGTCCTAGTGGAATGCAGCAAACAATATAGTGTACTGTGTGGTGTAGGGGGAAAGCAAAGCTGAACCAACCAAGAAAGAGTTGGACGGTGTTCCTTGGGTATTGAGTCAGGAATAAGGGGAGGGCTTGATGCGAGCACCTTTGGCATCCACAGGAATGATGATGACTCATAACCTGTAAAGAATGATGTCTTGGGCAAGAGCTTGCTGCAGGTATATCATAAACTTCACGGTACAGGTAGAAGTCACAAGCCTATCTTGCAAGACAGTTGAGAGGATTGGGACTTTGGTAACAGGGTAGTAAATTATGGTTTTTATAAACTGTCAGTAATGTCATGCGATTATAAATTATATTTGCAAATTGGTCATTATTTATTCCTTACTCTACACTGTGATACATTTCTAAAAATTCAGTATTTATTCTACTCATTACATTCAAGTAGGAACCAACCCAAAACGGACCCTCCATTGGGTTTCTGAGACTATAAATCGTGTAGGAAAAAATTGTCCATCTATTTCCTGAGAAACTGCTGGTGGATTTGAACTACAGAAGTGGTGGCCTTTGGGTTAGCATTGTAACTATAGATTGTACTGTCAGAGCTCCCTATTCAGCAGTTGTTGTCCAATATTAAGAGGAATTAAAATCTCACATTTCCTGACTTAAAATGCAGAAGTAAATTCAGTTTGAAATTTACAGCCTTGAAAAGTCCCTTGGAGGGTCAGCTCTGATTAGGTTCTGACTCAGCAGCAAGCAGAGGTCTGTCCTGTCTCTGCCAGCTTCAGAAGTTTATTGTCCCTCTACAGTGTGTGTCTGTGTCTGTGTGTGTTTTGTTAAGTGTTGTTGAGTACGACTCATAGCAACCCTATGAACAATGAATCTGAATCCTATTCTGTCCTATGCTATCCTCATAATCTCTGACATACTGAAACCCATTACTGTAGTCACTGTGTCAATCTATCTCATTGAAGGTCTTCTCTTTCTCTGATCCTCCACCTTTTCAATCATGATGTTCCTTTCCAAGGAATAGTCCCTCCTAACAGCATGCCCAAAGTATGTGAGGCGAAGCTTCTCCATCCTTGCTTCTGAGGAGTACTCTGGCTGCACTTGTTCTTTAGCATTCTGTGGAATATTTAGTATTCCTCTCTAACACCACAACTCAAAGGTATCTATTGTTCTTCTGCCATCCTTATTCATATCCAGCTCTCATATGCAAAGCAAGTGATTGGAAAGATCATGGCCTGAATCAGGCACACCCTAGTCTTTAAACTTATGTCATTTCTCCTTAATACCTTAGAAAGGTCCTTGACAGTGGATTTACCCACTGATGTCTTAATTTCTTGATCACTGGTGCCAGGGGTGTTAATTATGGATCCAGATAATGTCAGATAGCTGACAACTTGAATCTTCTCTCCATCTATCATGATGTTGCCTATTAGCCCAATGGTTAGGATTGTCTCGTTGTTGTGCTGTTATATGCTGTCAAATTGCCTGCAACTCTTAACAAACCTATGCACAATACCTCAGAACCCTGCCCTATCTGGAGCCATTCTCACTGTCTCTGACAGCCCTGACTCCATTGCCCCAGTCATTATCTCAATCTTTCTCATCCAGGGTCTTCCTCTTCTTCACCATCCCCATACCATATCAAGCATGATGTCCTTCTCCAAGGACCAGTCCCTCCGGACAACATGCCCAGAGTATGTGAGACAGAGAGCAGCTTTGATTTTATCCCCTCCAAGACAGACTTGTTTGCTCTCTTGGCAGTTCAACGTACTTCTCCAGCACCACAACTCAAAGGCATTGATTCTTCTTAGTCATGTCCATCTCTCTGATGAATAGCAAATAATTGCAAAGACCATGGCTTGGATCAGGTACACCTTAATTTCTAAATTGATATCATTGCTTTTCAGCACTCTGGAGAGGTCCCTGACAGCAGATATTCCCAGTGCAATTTATCTTTTTATTTACTGACTGCTTATACCAAGAGTTGATTGTGGAACCAAGCAAGCTGCAATTGTTAATCTCAATCTCTTCTCCATCTATCATGATGCTACCAGTTGGCCCAGTAGTGAGAAATTTTGTTTTCTTGATGTTAAGCTTCAGTTCATATTGGAGACTGCAGTCCTTGACCTTCTGCAGCAGAGTCACATCCTCCTCAATCTCAGCAAGCAAAGTTGTGTCATCCGCATATCAACAGGTGTTGATGACTCTTCCTCCGATTCTGATGCCACATTTTTCCTCATAAAGTCTAGCCTCCCAAATGACCTGTTCTACACATAGATTGAAAAGGTGTGAATAAAGAACACATCTCTGAGGCGTACCTTTCCTGATTTTGAACCGTGTAGTGTTTCCTTGCTCTGTTCTGATGGCTGCTTCCTGGTCCAAGTATAGTTTTCACATGAGCACAATCAGGTATTCTGGGATTCCCATTCTTCTCAAGGTTAGCCACAATTTGTTGTGATCCACACCATTGAATGCCTTTAAATAGTCAATGAAACACAGAATGACATTCTTCTGGTACTCTATACTTTCACCCAAGACCTATCTGACATTGGCTAGGATGTCCCTAGTACCATGGCCTCTTCTAAACCCATCTTGCATTTTTGATAGTTCTCTGTCAAGGTACTGTTTGAGTCATTTTTTAATAATCTTCAACAAGATTTTGCCTGCATGTGATATCACTGATACTGTTGTTTTCTTATTATCATCATATCCTATCAATCTTATGTACAAAAGAATGGTGACTATATACATGGATTTCAACAGACAGGTTACACTGAATCAGACTGACCGCACCTGTAGCAAGAGTTGATGAAAAAGCTCAAAATGAATAGTCAAAAGAAGACCCAGGAGCAGGCTGTGGAACATTAGGTGCACATTCAAATTTGACGTGAAGGGAAGCGAGTTTAAAAGAACCCAAATACAGTCTGAGTCTATCCCAACTGAGCTTAAAAACTATCTCAAGAATTTATTTGATGCCCTGAACACTAATGATTAATGAAGACCAGGTGAGTTGTGGGATAATATCAAAGGCATCATCCACAAAAAAGCAAAAGATCAATACAGAGACAAAAGGAAAAAAGAAAAGACTAAAATGGATATCAGAGGATACTCAGAAAATTGGCTAGAATGTGGAGAGACCAAAACAAAGGTGAAGAGATGAACAAAAAATTTTAAAGAGCAGCTTGAGAAGACGAAAGCAAAATATATAATGAAATGTACAAAGAGCTGGAGTTAGAAAACAAAAAGGGAAGAATATGTTCAACATTTCTCATGCTAAAAGAAACAAATTCAAGGCTTGAGTTGCAGTACTGAATAATTCTATGGGTAAAATCTTGAATGATGCAGGAAGCATGAAAAGAAGATAGAAGGAATATAAAAGTCACTGTACCAAAAAGAACTAGTATATTTAGGAAGTCATGTATAATGAAAAACCAATAATTATGAAAAGTTCAAACTGCACTGAAAGTTGGACAGTGAGTAAGGATGACAGAAGAAAAAGAATTAATGCCTTGGAGTTGTGGTATTGTAGAATACTGAATATACCATGGACTGCCAAAATAGCAAACAGATAGGCCTTGGAGAAACCAGGATCCTCCTTGAGGAGTTGTTGTGTGCCTTCAAGTCAGAACTGACCCAAAGCTGACCCTCTAGTGGGTTTTCAGAGGAAGTAAATATCATGGGAGGAGATTGCCCATCCTTTTCCTGAAGAGCGGCTAGTGGATTTGAACTGAACGTCTTTGAGTTGATGGTGCAGCTCCATGACCAAGTGGGATTAATCACAAGGATGTAAGGTTGGCTCAACATATGAGTAATATGCTGATTTTTCTTCTGTTGTACTAACCTTACATCCTTGTGATTAATCTCACTTATAGGTAGAGGATTCTTCTCATAAGTGCTGAATTTGGTTTGCTGCTTATTCTGTTGAGGATATTTTTGGTCTCTGTTCAGAAAAATAGCATCTGTAGATTTCTTGTAATATCTTTTTCTCATTTTGATGTACCAGGTAAAACTGACCTCAGAGTGATACCTCCTCTTCTTTTCTGATGGAAGTTTTTGAAGGATAGGTATTCATTTTCTGTTTGACCTACTTTACTGATTTTTACCAGTGGCTCTCATTTCTCTGAGTAACACCCCTACTTTGTAAGCACTGAATGGGTCCATCAGCCTCCAGTCTTCTCATCTTCCCTCTCCCAACTTAGGATGTCCTCTTGTGAGAAAACTGGGCAGTCAGTCCCTAGTACTCTCATCTTGCCAAGCCCAGCTAGTGGAACAAGGAACCCCTAGATTTCTCACCTGCTCTTTCCTGAAGTAGATGCTCTGAAATAGGAAAATAGGACAAGGAAGAGTGCTGGTGGCCTGACCCCATCCACTGAGACACCACATCTGGGAACTGGTGGGGTGAGAACTTGGTCCTGACTACCCACCAGAAATAATATTCCCATCTTGCTGAGCTGGTCTGGTGGGGAAAAGAACAGTGGAGCTTGAATGCCACAGATTGTAGTGATCTTACTGACAGTCAATAGATTTTCTAGATGCTGTTCTTTGCTTGTTGTATGTCCTTAGAACAATTTCCAGGTACTGAAATGGCTTTTTTACAGTAATATTTGATCAATCATACTTGTTTCCTTGAGAAGAGTGGTTATCTTCAGAGCTTCTCATGCTGCTATTCTGAAGTTGTTCTTCCTGAGTTGTCTTTAGGCCTCTCAAAAAGGGATCTTACAGAGGAGATGATTTTAACTTACTGGAATTATATTCTTCCTCAAAACTTTCAAGAACAGCAATAGATACGCACCAGGGCTTTCACGCATCATGTCCTTCCTGGTGTATGAACTCTAGAACATAGTTGTTTACAGTATGCATTTCCTTTCAATTAAGACTCTCCTTTAAAGAGAAGGGCCTACTCTGCAGAAAAATTGGTTTTGCTCTTGTTGTGGTGGTGGTTGTGTACTGTAGCATCAGAACTGACCTATAGCTGACCCTCCAGTGGGTTTTCAAATTGCACTGGAGGAGAGTGCCCATTCTTCTCCCATGGAGCAGCTGGTGGCCTCGAACCACATGCTTACAGGATTGCAGCACAGCTTCTTGCCACTAGGCCACCAGAGCTCTGTTTGCTTTTGCCGACTGGTTTTAATTTTTTTGGGGGGTGGAAAAACTTCTCTTATGGAAGGGCCTCAAAATTTCTATGACCTCAGGCAGCATATAAGAAACTCTAATGACAGCAGCTGAGATATTTGGCTGCTAACCAGTAAGTTGGCAGTTCGAGCCTACTGGTATTCTATGGGAGAAATAAGTATGAGGCAGTTTACTTCCAAAATATTTCTAGCCTCCAAAGTGCTATGAGGTATTTCTGCTATATCTTGCCGGGTTGTTTGTAATCCGCTCATTGGCTATAGGTTTGGGTTATAATGTACAGAGCCCGGTTTCTCTCAGTCACACTGTGTGTTGGTGTTCCAGGAAAAGCTTGTGCCTGGTGTATATATATTGCCTTGATAGGAATAAGAGCCTCTGTGGCCAGATATTCTCTGAGAGCCATTCTGTCATTGAGCTGTGTGTCCCTTTGTACTGTTGTGGGGCCCTGGACCCTTAGCTCTGGGAATTCAAGTGGCTAATGCTGTCATTCTTTCCTTCTCTATCTCACTCCCTAAGGTATGGTTGCAGAGGAGTACAATGCCTTTTTCTACTCACTGGTGTCCCAAGATACACAGGAAATGGCTTACTCAACCAAGCGGCAGAGGTTCTTGGTAGATCAAGGCTATAGTTTTAAGGTATGTGTCCAGTTGATTTCTAGTAAGATTGGAGCCAAGGGGTTTTTGTAACCTTGATCTGCAGAAGATTTTTTTTGGTAACTCAGATCTCATTATCAATCTGAATGGAGTCCCATCCAGGCAATAGATATTAAGAGACTAGGAGACCTAACCCCAGATTTTCTATGTCTTTGCATAGATTGCTGGAGGGCTTTTTTTCCTTTAATTAATTTTAATGAAAGTTTACAGAGACTTTGGGTTTCCAGTCATTCATTATTGCACTTTTCTCCCTACCTACCCTCTCCCCCCAATTCACTCTTCTCCTTGAAAAGGGAAAAAAACCTTTTCATTGTTATTGAATCCCTCCCCCTCTCCCCAAGTCCACTCCCCTACGCAGCCTTCACTCTGGACTTCTGTAATGACAAGAATATCCATTCACATATCCCTTTTAAATAGCTCTCCCACGTCTGTTTCAATGCAGTATACATCATTCCTCCCCTCCTTTTCTGTCTTCCCTCAACCCTGATGTCAGTCCCTTTTTACAACAGTGGCCCTATGCAATATTTGTCCTTTTGTGACTGAGATATTTCACTTAGCATAATGTCCTCCATGGTCATCCATTTTGCATAATATTTCATGAGTTCCTTGTTTTTCAATGCTGCATAGTAGTCTATGTGTGAATATACAGAGCTTTGCTATCCATTCTTTTGTTGGTGGGCGCTTGGGTTGTTTCCAGCTCTTTGCTATTGCAAACAAAGCCGCAGTAAACATGGGTGTGCATATATCTGGTTGGGTGGCAGTTATGGTTTCTTTAGGGTAAATTCCCAGTAGTGGAATTGCTGGGTCAAATGGTATCTCTGTTTGCAACTTTTTGAGAAAACACCATATAGCCTTTCATAGTGGTTGCACCATTTTACACTCCCACCTTCAGTGAATAAGGGTTCCAGTTTCTCCACAACCTTGCCAGCATTTGATGTTTGCTGTTCTGCAAAATTTTGCTATTCTTACTGGGGTGAGATGATAATTCATAGTTGTTTTGATTTGCATCTCTCCTAGAGCTAGGGCTTTTGAACATTTCTTCGTATGTTTGTTTGCCATCTGAATGTCTTCTTTGGTGAAGTGTCTGTTCATATCCTGTGCCCATTTTTTAATTGGGTTATTTACCTTTATCTTGTTGTGGTGAGATTGCTGGAGTTTTGCAGGGAACTTTTGTATAGAAGGTTCCTTCTCACCTCCAGCTTCCAAAAGCAAATGGTCACATGGAACAAAACTGAAAGAGACATTTGTTTTCTTAGAGAATGCTGGTTCTTGTGTGTGTTGGGCAGGAGTGTTGGGAGTGGGGGCAGAATGTGTCTGTCCTGGCAGGATTTGCAATGCCAAGGAACCGTGGCAGTCACTGTGTTGGTGTGAGCTTCTTGGGGCTGCCCTCCAGGAGGATAGAGAGCTTCCTTTTTAGTCTGTTGGTGAGCCCCACATTCTAGTGTGCCCTGCAGACATTAGCATCATCCTCTGAAAACTCAGATTGCTCATAAATAACTACAAACCAGGCCATTGAATACTGTAACACATTGTCAAGCTTTGGCTGACTTTTATTAGCTGAGTCATAGCTTTCATTTCTGTTCATAAATATTTATGATTGTGTTCAGATTTAGTGTCCTAAAGGATTATTTGTGGGAGTTGGGTGGCAGTTGCTAGAAAGCAGGGGAACACATCCCTAGGATACACAGACTTTTCTCAGAGTCCGAGGTTCTTGATTTGGGTAAGACAGTAGACTGCCCTGCCCTTCAGGTAATTTTGACATGCATCTCTTCATAAGTTAGAAAGTATTTCCATTATTAGGAAGACAGGATTGGGTTAGCTTTACTGTCTGGCATCTCTTATCAACCAGAGGCATAGACATTTTTTAGACCTCATTTTGGGCCTTACACCTCATTTTGGGCTGGAGGACAGACACTTGGGTTTTCTTGATACCTCATTTTTTCCAAGGATTGATACTAGTAACAGTATCATTGTCTTCAGATTCATGGGACAATCAGAAGTACTCCAATTACTTGAAACGTGACCTCAACCCAGAGGCAATGCACAGACAGTTGACTGTTTTAAGGGGTGCCCCCTTGGTCTCCTTTGCCTGCTAAGAGTGGCAGGTCACTGGTTCCAGAATTGGGGCTCTGGGTTTATGAGAAATGCCTATAAGCCCACCTAGGGTAGGTATGCACTTTGGATCTTGGGCCAACTGAAGGATTCCATCAAATCCTTATTTTTAAGACTTTTAACTAAAATGTTGAGAAGAATTAGGGATGGAAAAGTTTCATTTATATCATTACTATGAGCCTTCTGTGTGGATAGGCTAACTTCTCGCTAAGTTGTAGTTCTAGAAATGAAAACCACATTTCCACCATGTGTTAGCTTGGTTTTTCAGAAACATCTTGTAAATCATACTTGAAGATCCTCTTGTTTTGAAAAGTTCACGCTTCCAAGGTACACACCATTGTATGGCCAAACTCTTCTCAAAGGACAGCAGGTTGTGCCTCTTAGTCTTGTTTTTTTCTGTAGTGCAAGATGAGAAAACCATAACTTTTTTTTTTATTTTGTTAATATCTTTAATTGTTGATTGGATTAATGTGACAATCACCTGTTAGAAATAAACTCAGAATGACTTTTGAAATTCATCATGACCCCTGTTTCCCCAAAGAACTGTGTGTTCTTCTAGCTGTTTTTGAGCTGTCCTGTTTCTCATTGATTGAGTCCCTGCTTAAAAGCGGCTCCTGAAACAACTCTTGGCAATGGCCCGGTTGAGCTCTCCATTCTTAGCCAGCCTGGGCTGACGGTAGGGAAGTGTGAGCCAAGGAGAGGAAACAAGGGAGATGCTATCTGCTGTGCTTGCTCTTCAGGTGATCACAAAGCTGACCGGCATGGAAGAGGAAGATTTGGCATTTTCAACAAAAGAAGAGCAACAGCAGCTTTTACAGAAAGTCCTGGCAGCCACTGACCTGGATGCTGAGGAAGAGGTGGTGGCAGGAGAGTTTGGCTCCAAATCCAGTCAAGTGAGTGGGTGAAGCACCTGATGCCAGTCTCATTAACACACATGTTTGGACACATGATATTTGTGCATGTGATTAATTATTTAAAAATTTAGAAAACCCAGAAGTACATAGACCAAAGGACAGCAGAAATGGACCTCGTCAGCCTTCAGTGCTGTTCCTCCTTGTACACATACTCTGAGGTTTAGCTTAGTTCACTTGATGACCTTGGCTCCTGCTAGGTTTCCAAAATGATAGTCCAGCAAAGCTGATGTGAATAATAAACACATCATTTGGAGAATGCTTTCCTCAGCTTTTCTGAGGAAAGAAGTACAATTTAGTCAGACATGCTTGAAATTAACTTGCTGTTAGTGTCCACAGGTAAGCATGGTCCTGGGGACCCTTAGATTTCCCACCACACAACTGTGGAATTTGGGCACTGGATCTCCTTGCCTGACTGTCATCCTATCCTCAGGTGATGTCTCTTCAGGCCACCTCACAGTAGGCCACCTTTGGTCTGACCACTGAAGTTGCAACTCTCCTGCTTGCATACATGTGGCCTGTACTCTGGGGCCAGGGTTTGGCAAGCCCTGGGTCAAATCCTTGAGTCATTTCTGTTCACAACTTTCTGGAAAGGCAGATAGTGTTAGCCTCATGTTATGGATGAGTTCATTGACTCAAAGACATGAGTGTACCCTCATAGCTAATAAATCCTGTTGAGAAATTGTCATTAAGAGCCACTGTGGTATGGCCAAGACCAGAGAGCCTGAAGCTAGATACCCAACTTCTCATGAGGAGCTGTACAATCCTAGACAAGTTACTTGATTACACTTTGCCATGGTTTCCTCTAATTTAAAAGGATTGTAATGGTTGTAAAAATTAGATGTTGTTGTGATTGTGTCCTGTCAAGTTGGGACTAATCCATAGCTGACCCTCCAGTGGGTTTTCATAGGCGGTAAAGTGCGCAGGGGGACATTGCCCATCATTTTCCTAGAGCTGGTGGATTTGAACCTTGTGCCTCTGGGATTGGCACAGCTTCTTACTTCTAAGTACATGTAAAATACTCAGAGAAATAGTAAGTGATCAGTAAGAGTTCAATAAGGTAACATTATTTAGGAAGTTGTTAATGTTTATTTGCATGAAGGGTTATAAATCATTTATTATTCGTAGAATCATTCATGGACTTTTTTTATTGATTTGCTTACGAAGTTTGTATACATTGCGTTTCAAAAATCAGTGTCTTCAGCCCTTGTAATAGTGTATTTCCTTTCCCTTCTCCCAGTTTATCTGTTTATTACTTTTCACTACCCTCTCTTTTCCAACCCCTCTTCTTCTAGAAGTATCTTTTAAAAGGTGTATCTTTTTACAGAGCTAATGGTGGTACTATTTCAAATATCTATGAATCCTTTCCCACAGGTATCAAGGCGCTTTGGCACAATGAGTTCCATGTCTGGGGCTGATGACACTGTGTACATGGAGTACCACTCAGCACGAAACAAGACTTCATCTAAACACGTGCACCCACTTTTCAAACGCTTTAGGAAATGATGTCCTCATGTCAATTAAATGCTAAGCATCAGCAGAGTTTGCCTTTTCCAGAATTTCTCTCCAAACTGGCCGAAGTTCAGGATCTGTTGATCTTGTTGAAAATGCTTCTATATTCATGGCTATTTGTGGTTTAAATAAAAGGGAGGGAGGGAGATAGTGTGTGTGTGTGTGTGTGTGTGTGTGTGTGTGTGTGTGTGTGTGTGTGTGTGTGTGTGTGTGTGTGTGTGTTTTCAGGCCAATTTTTTAATTATCTGGGTATGAGTCATTTCCCGTATATTAAAAATACTATTATTTAAAATGTTTATCTTCTGTTCTCCTTAATTAAAAGAAAAGGCATATTTAACATTTTTCGTTAAAATATTTTTGTGTGTGGCATAGGCGTGGATTGTCTAGGTAGTGGCAAATGTCCATCAAGGCTGTGTTGGGCAGCAGACACAGGAAGATGGAGCTCAGCCCTGGGAACTGCTGGGGAAACATGGAGTACCATCTGGTGTAGGGAAAATGGACATGTGTGGGGGTTGGGGGAGTGGTGGTTTGTAAGCACATGGAGGGGCTCACTCTTTAGCTCAGGCGGTGCTAATTGTTTTAGGTTGAAGAGTCAGCCCCATCATCGTCTTTCTTGTCCAGAGGCCGTGGCTGTTTCCCACTAGGTAAGAAATCAGCATGTTGATTCTTCAGACTATTAACCTTCTCCTCAAGCCACTCTGTTGTGGATCTCGTGTTGGACTCTGAGTGATCCTATTTTCCTTCCTAAACACATTTTGGACATTGTTGGGAGATTGGATTCCTTTTCTCATAGCAGTTTGGTACCCTCAGTCTTTAATGATTAATTCTCTTATTAATAAAATAGATTTCTGTATTTTTTTCTCTCTTGTTCGTCCTGGTATGAAAAAAGGTACATGAAGTATCACTCGTCAAGACTTCATCTAAACACATGCACTTGATTTTCACACTTTTTAAAAGAAATTACGACCCACATGCCACTGGATGCTTGGCTTCAGCAGTTTTCCAGATTTTACAAGAAAGGAGACAAAGCAGTATTGCTCCTTTTAAAAAAAAAATACAGCCTGGCCTATGGGAAGATGTTATTCTGTGCAAGGGTCTTGTTCTGATGAGCAAGTCTTCATACCTAGGGAATGTGAAACCCCTTTTTAAATAAAGTCTCAAAATTCAGTTTGGAGACTGTCATTCCCACCCCAGTTCAGCTGTGACACTTCCTTTTCTGATTCTGTTCTGTAAAGCAGGTGCATCCCACAGTAGGGAGAAGACTGTCCCTTTTGTTAGTGTTTTTAAATAAGAGCCCTCCTCACAAGTTCAGGTTTTTGCATCTGCCCTTTTGAAGACAAGCAGTCTCCTCCTCCATGTACATATGTTGTTGTTATGTGCCATCGAGTCGCTTGCGACTCATAGCAACCCTATGTACAACCGCCCTAAACTCCGCTCTGTCCTGTGCCAATCGCACCGTCTCTGACACTCCCATCCCAGTTATCCCAGTCACTAAATCAATCCACCTCATAGAGGGCCTTCCTCTCCTACACTGTCCCTCCACCCTCCCAAGCATGATGTCCTTCTCCAAGGACCT